TATCGTCCAATATAATGGCAAATGCCCCATGTTGCTGTCTTGCAAGATCATACCAGGTTTTCCTTGGGTGGAGAAAAAAAAGGTGCAAGACCACTTTATCAGCACAGCTGAAAGACCAGAAAATTGTGGTGCCCTCTTAAACTTTTCAATCTCAGCTGGCCAATAGAACAACTTGTAACAAAGAACCTGAACCTTTTCCCCTTCCATTTCATTTTCCTTTTGTGTCAACTGAACAACCACTACCCAAGGTCTAAGCATAAACTGGTACCTAAAAGCCCCAAATACAATAATAAATTATGCAACATTTAAGATACGTGTTTGACAGTAATAAAAACTAAGATTTATAACTAGTAAAATTTAGATCCTGGCTTCTGTTGGTAATAATAGCCCTACAGTGTTATCTCCAGGAAGATTTGGGATCAAATCAAACATTCCACAGAATTGTGATGCTTTCTTCTGCATTGTATTTTAAAACAAAAGCATCCTGGGAGAGTTTGAATCTGGGGAGTTGGAAGGAAAAGGCTGCTTTACCCTTTCCCTGTCATTGCTTTCAAAATCACTCTTCCCAAACTACATTCCCATTCTTATCTTTTATGGGTTGTGGCTAACTAAGGATTACTCAGAGTAGACCTAATGAAAATTAATAGACCTAAGTTACCCATGCCCCCTAATTTAAATGGTTCTGCTTTGAGTAGGATTAACTTTGGATACAGCCCTATGTGTATTTACTCTTGCAGCTGAAAAAGTAGTTTGGGGAGAGTGATATTGAGCTGTATAATGGGACTGGGTTGGAGAGGGTTAAGCAGGCTCTCTCCACACACTCATCTTTCACTCAGAGACAGTCTCCTTTAGGTTGCATTTTGCTTTTTAAAAAATAAACCAGCAGAAAGAACCACAGAAATGCACACAACAGCGCAGTTTGAGCCAAAGTATAGGGGAGAAATGGGAAAGGGCATGAAAGATGTAAAGAAAAAGCTGTTATTAGGCTCTTTTGCTTTTGGGCATACACAAGGAAGGGTTTTCAATCTCATCAGTCTTGTGTCATGGGCAGACCCAACATGAGGTGTTGGGTCACAACTTTTGAAAAGAAGGAGGCGAGACTCAGACAGATGGGTGTTAACATGCCTTTTAGTGCAGTAGAATGGTTTATTTTAGGGCATGAAATCAAATTAGTGCATTTGTAGCTGTCAGTGTGTCATTCAGATTCACGCTTTGCACACCAAAGGCACTGGGCTGTTTGGTGTTATCATTTTTCCCCCTTTACCCTTAGATTAGTTGTACTTTTATTTACTTATTTGAAGTGTTGTGCTGCTGCTTCACTATTTCCTGGGAGAAGTTTAGGAACTGGATCTGGGAGCTGTTAGAATGTGTTGGGAGCTGTTAGAATGGCCTTGCTTATTTCTCCTGAGGCCCCAGACAACACTGTTGTTGGATCTGTTTACTGTGAGGAAAGACAATACCTGGGCCACTATAGGGGGAAGAATTAAAATGTCAAGAATTAAAATATCAACTAGTTTCTCAGCTAGCACAATACAAAAGCAGCACGGCTCTTATACAGCACCTTTGCAGAACAATCCATTGAGGTCAAGGGAACTATTCTAATATTGATGATGAAAAAGTACCTATTTGAATTATGGAACATCTAAAGATGTTCCCCAACACCTTAATTAAACTTCTCCTTTCACTTCTGCTTCAACAATCCCCAATAGCCTTAGCTAATGTGATTGCATATTTCACTAGATAGTTGTGGTCTCAGCTGAATCCAAGCAAGACCAAATGGCTATTGGATTCATGTTGCCTTCATGTTGACATTTTATACACCAAGTATTATTACTTCTGTTTTGTATGGGGAGAACCAAGTGGTGAGCATTGTGGAGAGTGTGTGTCTTCCAACGAATCTGAAGGGCAGTAAGTTCAAACCCGAAAGTGGCTACACAATACATAATGGCTTATGGAATTCAGTGGCACAAGGTGTGGAGAAGGCCATGAGCTTAGTATGCTCCCACCCCCCAAAAAAGTTAGGAAATATGTATTTTTATCAATTAAACCATGATAGCCAAATGGAACCCCATTTACCAAGGCCTATCAAACCCTGGAGACTAGCAACAAGGAATGACTCTCACTCTCATGTCCTGCTCATAAGCCTTTAGAGATCTTTGGCAGGACAAAGTTGAAGGCAAATGCTGGAAGAGACAGACCTTGTTTCGATCCAGCAGGTTTAGTCCTGCGTTCAATAAAATACAGACAAATAGAACAGAAAAGGCCCAGGAAGCCTTTTAGGGGCCTCATGCACAATGAAACTCCGCAAAAGGCAAGTGTCACCTATGGAAATATTTTTGAAGCTGACTTGGATTATGCAGCAAAGCCAGGATTTATAACTCCTATATCCAGAATGTTTCTGTGTAGGCAGGACAGAGTGATTGATTTATGTAACACAATCATCCCAGAGGTGGCCAGAGACTTTTTGCTGCCTGCGACAAAGAACAAGCCTTCCCAGTTTCAAGTATAGAAGCTAATCAAATGGATAGTTTAAACTATGTGCAACTGGGGAAGCTTTTTATGACAATTGACAAGCGTCTCGTTTGTATCCAAATGACACTAAGGATGCTTTTGGTGAGGACCAGGGAGAGAACCTTATCTGTGTTTGCACCTAGGCTTTGAAACACCCTTACAGAAAGGGAGTCCTGCTGCCTTGCTCTTTCTCTGAAGGCCTTACACAGCAGGGCAAATATTGCCACATGCACACCCAATCTCTAAGCAGTAAGAGATCTCAGGGATCTCGGACTTCCGGGTTGGCGCCTCTGGCAATGGCGGATTTCCTCCGATCGGGAGGAACCCGCTCCGTGGAAAAAAGGGTCTGAACCGCCACGGCGAGGCGGAGACCCATCAAAAACCACAGGCGGGAGAAGCCTGTGGACGTGGGATTCGGCTGGCACCTTTGCGCCCCCCCCCACTTGCGGGGAACCCCGGTTTCGCGGATCCGGAGCGACGTGGGGTGAGTGGTGCGGTGCTTTGAATCAACTGCTTCTTTCACGGAGTGAAGCCGCATTGCTGTTGCCGGAGAGCGCTGACTTTTTCCTGTGGACAATTGGATCTTAAATAACTGTCCGTGAGTAGAACGGAAAATTGGATTAAGAAATTTCTTTTAATTTGGCACTGAAGCAGGAAGGTCTAAACAGGAAGTCCGCCTTTCCGCTTTTGTAGATAGATTAAAGCAAAGACACGGCAAGCTAGAGTTTAGAAAATCGTCTGTAAAGGATCAATTTTCATCATTTAAAATTACTGAACCCCCCTTGGAAGCAGGAGAAGAGGGGGGAATTTTTTCTGGACTGTTTAAGCCTGCAGAAGAGAGAGTAAAGAAAAGCAATTTTCCACCGTCTTAAACCTGGGAGCGGGGTGTCAGGACAGACATCCTTGGGAAGTTCATTGACTATAGACAAACGTTTTTGACAGATAGTTAAAAGAAGAGAAACATATTGATTCCATTGTTCCCCTTTGCATCTAAAAGGAACAAAATATTGACAAAATATCTGAAAAAGGAAACTTTGTTGTTAGATCTGCTTTTTTAAAAAAGAAGAAGAAGAAGAAGAAGAGATGGATACAAATAGAAGCTTTTTCCCCTAGAGGGAGCTTGTGAAACTGTTATTAAATTTGAACTGGGGAGCTTTGCAGCTGCAATAGATTAAGATCGTGGGATCAGACTTTGACCTTGCACAAGAATGTACTCAGAGGCTCTGGTGCTTGCCTTCTGCAAGACAAGTGCTCTATTGGAACAGCTACATGAGAAGACGGATTTGATGACTGTTGCGATTGGAAATTTTGGACAGGCAGTGGGTATCTATATAGAACCCACTCAGGAATTAATCCAGGAGTGTGCTCTGACAGATCAGATGAGGGAGGAGGTTGTTGCTGGACCTCGGGAGGCAGAGATGGAGGGAACTGTGGCCCAGCAGGAACATGACTTGTTGGATCTGATGAATGAACCTGGAAAAAGCCAGATTTGGAGAGATAGAGTCTTGTTTGGTTTGGAGATGGGGGGGCTGGATAGACCCCCCTACGCAGGGATGTTTTGACCTTCCAAGTCTGGCTTTGGGCCGGGAGGAGTTCAGAGTTGTGGGGGCCCTTAACTTTGGAGGGACCTTGAAACATGCTTTTAAATACCACATGGAGTACAGTGTTGACTATGGAAAAGGGGCTGATCTGTCGAGAAGGGACAAAAATATCGTTAAGCTGGAGTCTCCACGAATGAAAGGAGCAGAAGACAAAGTAAAGTACAGGTATAAATATAAAGAAGACCTGCGGAAGGGACATGGAAGAGATTTAAGGGCCTCGGACATAAGGTTACCGGGTTGATGAACTAGATGGATGGGATAGAAAGGACTGACAAAACCCGAGACCAGGAGGAAGAGACGTTGGAAGAAGATTGGAAGAAAGTTTTAAAAAAATTATTTAGGAAACTTTTCGTAAAATTAATGAGTATTAGAAAAATGTTGGAACGAAATTATTTGTCTTTAGCAGAAATGTTAAAAAGAATTATGTAAGAATATCTTATGGTTATGAGAAATTGGTATAAATAAGATTTAAGTTTTAAGGTTTTTTATGGTAAGATAAGGTTAAAATAGATCAAGGTAATTCAATGACAGAATATTATGAAAGATGGAAAGGATTTGCTGAGATAATTAATAACTAGAATACAAAAAAGGGAGGTGTGAGGAGGTCGATGAAATAAGGTAATGACAGTTAAGGATTTGAGAATACTGGATCTGTTTTTAATTTTTTTTTGTTTATTTTTGCTTTTTGATTTTGATGTATTATGTGCTTTGCTTTTGCTTTTTGATTTTGAATTGTTATTTGTTTTTTCCTTCTTTTTTCTCTTTGTTTTTTTTTGTAATCTTAAAATTTTCAATAAATATTATTTAAAAGATATCTCAGGGATCTCCACACATACCTCAGATTGGAGTTCCTTTAGAATGGAGGCTACTGGAGAGTACGGTGTGTTTGTTATATCTAGCTCAGTCTGTAGAGCATGAGACTCTTAATCTCAGGGTTGTGGGTTTGAGCCCCACGTTGGGCAAAAGATTCCGGCATTGCAGGGAGTTGGAACAGATGACCCACATGGTCCCTTCCAAATCAACAATTCTATGATTCTACTATTTACTTACACAGGCACACACACACAGGCTGAAGATAAGGTGGAAGGGCACACAACATTTGCACTCCATCAGATATTTGTCCTCCATGAGGTTTTTTTCAGGGGAACAACTCCCCTAGCTATAGCACTCTATTATTTTCACACAGACCTTAGTATGTTCCCAGCTCCAGCTGCAAGATGAGACTAGCTATTCCTCCACACTCCCCCCTAGACAGCGGGTGGGAGGCAGAGACCTGACTCCAAATTACCAAGTCACTGACTCCTTCTAGAATCCTGCCCATTTAGAGATTTCTTCTTAGCAAAGGAGGGTCACTGATTGCAAGAGCCAGCTAGGTAATATCAAACACCTTTGTTATTCCATTAACCCTCTTCTAACAAAATCTCAGTCTTACCATCAAGAATCAGAATGCTGCGAGGGACCTGGTAGAGGGCATCTATATCAAGTCCCAAACTTTGCTACAATACCTTTCTTTTAAAATTGGCATTTGATTTGTAATAAGTATTTTTAACTCCTCTTGGTATGTCTGATTGACTCCCACACTATATTATTAGTGTGTAGATGCTCTGCAGGTTATTGTTTAAAGTTCTGCTATTGAATTGTTCTAATATTTTTAGTTTTTAAGCTACTAGTCACTGAGATTTTATTTGCTGTTCCGTTCTCTCATATGATTGTTGAGTATACTTGTTTTAGTTAATGTTAGCCGCCTTGGGCATTTTATGAAAAAGCTGGATAGAAATATTTTAAAACAATCAATAAATTCTGCCAGTCTGCTTTAAAGGGCAACTCAATAGATAAGCCTGCCTGAGCTCCTGGAAAATATACATGCATTTTCTTTGCAAAATGATTGAGGTCAAAGAATCAGAAGAAGGACAGTTCAGGAAAAGTCAGGCAATTGTTTGAAGAACAGAATTGATGGTTTTGCCATATGGGGAAACCTAATTTGCTGACTTTGATAATGCAATCACTGAAGCTCCCATGTCTGACTCCTTTATGCCTACCTTTCTCGTCTGCAGCAACTGCTTCTCTTTGTTGAGAAAAACACATCTATGAAAAGTGATTAGCTACACATTATTAGTCCATTGGCAGCCAGCCAATCAAACCATTCCTCTTCCTTTTCTCATTGCTGTGTTCCTGAGATTGGCATTTCATGTATAGCATATATAGTATATAAATGCGGGCACGTACTTCTATCTCCTTGTGTTACTATAAAAGACACAGTTGTTGACATGAGACATCACAGCTGCTTCCCATTTCACTAGAAATCTAGAATGTTGGCACCTTTTCCCTGAAAAATGGGAGCTTCTGGCTTTTCTAATCTCTTGGTATTAATCTCTCTAAGTAAATGAGACATACAGATGTCCAATAAAAAAAGGAATGGGCAAGTTGAATGGGCAAACAGCTTGTGTTTTTAACTTTCTCTTGAAAAGAAATGGCAAAATCTTAATTGTAAAGGCAGCTTTGGAAGTTCCAGACACTGTAAGCATGGCTTACAAAGTACCCAAAGTACCTCATTGAACAAGAGGTCTCAATGTTCCCATGGTCAGATCTTTCAATGGCTATTAGACAGGACAGCTAAGTAATTGAAAAGCAGCATTCATGGGAAATGCAACTGTGATTATCAAAAACTAAGATAAAATATTAGGATAATTATCTCAATCACACTCTATTTCAGAGCTCTCTAGACGCACCCATCTGACCACTGTTTGACACAGCATGCTGGACTAGACAAGGTGTCTCCAATGTGGTGTCTTCCAAAAGTTATTAGATTACTGCTCCCATCAGCCCCAGCCAGAATGAACAATGATCAGGGATGATAGGCATTGTCATCCAAAAACGTCTGAAGGTTTGTACTCCACAGTTTGTACCCATTGACTAGCCCTGGAATAGATAGACATTTGGTCTGATCCAACAGTGCAATTCTTGCACTCTTGTTAATCATGCACCACTCAGTTATTCCACAAAACCTCCCAGCCTACATAACATATATGTAGCCTTCTCTGCAGTGGCTTGAATTGGGGATGCTCATGTATTTTGCCTGGTTCACATTTTTAAGAACCAAGTTGATTAAAGGTTTTTTTTTCTTCCCCAAAAGAGAGAATATTTTAGGGTAATACGCGTTCCAAAATAGTTATTTTCTTTCTTTCTTTCTCTTTCTTTCTTTCTTTTTTAAAAAACCCATTAAAAATAATGGGGCATCGCATGCAGTTTAAAAAAGTCAATAAATCCCAGATTCATGCAGAAATGGGACAGAAGAGACTTTTGAATGAACACATGCAAAACTGGCATGGACTGGAAACAGACTCCTTGATCCATCCCATAACTTGAGCACTGAAGCTTACTGTGGTCTAATGGTTCATTATTAGACACAAATATGGACTTGACTATTGAGTAGTTTTGTTTCCCACATACAATGAATATCCTACATATCAAAGGCAGCACACATACTAACCTATGGAATTCAGTGCAATAAATCTTTTGTCCTCTATTTTGGTTTTCTTCCTTCTGAATTTGCCAACTACTTCTTACCCTCCTCCACAACATCCTCCTCATCTTCCAAACCCCATTCGCTGCCACATCCAGAAATCCTTTCGAAATGATTCCACTTATCAGCTCCCTGGGGGCCTGGAAAGTGCATATTGACAAAACTAAATGGAACAAGTCTACTCTAGGCAAAGGCCAAGCTAAGGTGTCTGAGCTATTCAGAGACCATTTCGCTGGAAAAGGTTGTGGGTCATAACATACCACAAAGGCCCACTCACTGGAGTGGAAACCGTAAAATAAAGGTATGCACCACAGTTTGTATTCCTCAAGGACAAACATTCAGGGTATTCTGGATAAGCATCTGTAGAAGCTTACTGTCTGCATGCCTTGCCCTGAAATGTAAATGTGCTAAGAATATTTCGGGAAGAGGCCCATGAGTAGAGAGAGGGAAAGTCAAGGGTGATTAAAATTCACTCAAGATATAAAAAGAAGCAACTCTCACCCAATATTTCTCCTGGCTACACACTTCCATTTACTAAGTGTTTCGGTGGCTTGTAATAGACACCGCTATGCACACAGAGTGCTGAATTCTTGTTCATTAAATGCTAAAGCTGCAGGCACGTTGTACATAAGAAAATTAGTTTTCCACCAACTTCTAATGCTTGCATCGCATGATGGAATTTATGTCTGGGGAGGAAAAAGTCTTGCTTTTTCAGATTCCATGTTGCAGTAGGAAGTCTAGCCACTGGGCTATGTCTTTCCTTTTGAAGTCACATGAACACTTTCTCCAGACTTGCACCAGAGTTACGTAGAGAATTAATCCTCAGATCCAAAACTCCATGGGCTGGCCTGCACATGAAGATTAATCTTAGCAGAACAGTAGTAATGGCACTTAACCATTTCTTAAGTTAAATCGTATTATAATTTCAAAATCCTTTCTGGTGCAGTATTTAGTTGTAGCCTTATATAAATAAAAATACTTATTACATTCCAAGATGGAGATGATTTCCATACTTGACCCTGTAAATCCTGAAAATCACTCTCCCCACAAAGAGCCCTGTTATCTCAACGACCCTCTGCAGGGGGGAGCTTTTGTTGCTGATCCCTCAGTTTTCCTGCAGGACACTTTTTCAAAGCTTCAAATGAACATCATGGTTGCTCTGCTAGCGAACTGCTTTTCTGAGCCTCAGATTGGCTTGGAAAATGAAGCAAGTTATTTGTGATTATTTTTGGGGGGGAAGTCCATTTCTGAGTCTGTGCAAGCTGAACAGTAGCAAGCTTGCCTATCTCTTGCATTAGCTGCAGTATTAGACACAATAATGTGTAGTTTTACAACATCAAAAGCAATGCAGGATGTAAACATCAGTAGGGTTTTTCTTTGCTTTTGGAGAAGATATAATTAAATAGGATAGAGCATTCAAGAAACATTAGTCTGCAGTTTTGTATGCACTACAGCAAAACAAAATTCTGCAATGCAGTCTGTTTATATCAGGGGTAGGCAACCTAAGGCCCGTGGGCCGGATGCGGCCAATCGCCTTCTCAATCCAGCCCATGGACTGTCCGAGAATCAGCGTGTTTTTACATAGTAGAATGTGTGCTTTTATTTAAAATGCATCTCTGGGTTATTTGTGGGGCATAGGAATTCGTTCACCCCCCCCCCCCCCAAAATAATAGTCCGGCCCACCACATGATTTGAGGGACGGTGGACTGGCCCACAGCTGAAAAAGGTTGCTGACCCCCGGTTTATATGCAGGTTTCTGTGTGTGAGTGTGTTTCTGTGGCTCGATGGAATTTGGAGATGAAAAAGGTTTACTTTTTCAGATCTTGCATCACAATGGGAAATCTACATACATATAAACACAAACACACATATCCTTTTCCGAACACACACAAACCAAAGAGTATTTACCTCCAACAAATATACCTATGGCTCAATATCATCAAATATCATGGACGACCTTACAAAGTTAATAGGACTATTGTGGATTCCAGTAAATTCTCCCCAAAGTCCCTGGTGAATTCTAGCAAAGGAAAAGAAACACAAGCCTTAGACATACTTTCCCTTTAGGCAGAATTCACTGACCCTTTAATTCATACACCCATCCCCAAGAATAACGGCATGTTCTTAGAGCTTGCTTTACTGCAGCATGTGAAGGGGTGGAGAAGTCACAAAGGCCGCCCAGTGACAGCAGCACTGCATTTGCCAGCATGGAGGTGAGATGGGATGACACGGCAGCAAGATTGGGGTAGCTCTGGGTTGGCCGTAGTGGTCTTGCAGGTGCCCATGCCACTGCCAACCCAGAACTCCCCCAACCTTGCCGCCACCTCAACCCATTCCATCCTCATGTTCCTGAGTGCAGCAGTACCATCACCAGGCAAGCGCTTGCTGTCACTCTGCCTCTTCCTATGCCGCTGCTATTTTACAGTGCACCCTGGCAGA